ATCCGTCTCGGGTGACCGGCGCCCCCGGTCGCAGGGATCCCGCAGAACCCGCCGCCGCCCCGGCTGGCCAGAGGCCACGCTTCGCTTCGGCAGGTGACCGATGTTAACAAGTTGGGAACTTGTGCGGGTGGATCCGGCGTGCGCGGCCGGGGCTTTGTGTCCTCTCCTCGCCCGCCGCCTGGAGCGCGCCCCGCCACGTGGGGCGGCCGCCTCCGGGGACCGAGGGCCGCCCGCCGGCCGGGGACGGCGGCGGCTGGGCTTCTCCGGCACGCGCCCTTCCGCCCGTCAGTCAGACATTTTGTGCCCGCCACGTGCTCGTGCCTTGAATGGTTAACCCACCTCTCCCGGGCGGAGGAAGGAAGGTGGTTCTCACCTTCAGGACTCGCTCATTCCGGACTCTTGCCTGTACTTCGATAGAATATCGAGTAACTCAACTTAGCCAAAATACCCTTGAGAAAAGTACACAATGTAGGACTTCCGAATACTTGAAATCTAGCTGAGTTCTTTAGAACATTTGGAGGTTAAAACCCAGTGAGGAAGACGGTGTTCACGATGGGAAACACCAGGCTTGCAGTTGACAGTCTGTGTCTTTTTTATGTGTGAACTAAGGTAACGTGTATGTACAGGTGTTTATTTTTCAGCCTAAACCTTAACCTTGCCAAAGATAGGTGAGAGCCATGTGACTTGATTGAAAAGTAAAAGCAACAAGTGGCTAGTGGAGACTGCATTGGAAAGCACTGCTTATGAAATAATTTGACTGCCCCACAAGATGCTAGAGTCTGGGAAAACATGGGTAGAATGAGACAGGTGGCCTTAGGATCATGGGAGATTGCCAAGAGTATGAAGTAGCAGTGTTTCTAAAGAGGGCCCCGTGGCAGGTGCTTTCACCTAACCCCAGTACTGGGGTTTGAACTCAGAGCCCTACACTTGATCCATTCTGCCAGCCATTGTGTTTGTGTGCGTGGGGGGGTATTATTTTCCAAACAGGATCTTGCTTTATATTAAAAAACAACAAAAACAGGGCCTGCCTGGACTTTGATCCTCGGATTTGTGCATCCATTTGTCCTTGGGATGAACAGACACTCAACCACTGACAATGGAGACTCTCATGCTTGGGCTGGTCTTTTAACTGCAATCTTCAAATCCACTTTTCTTAAGAACCTAGAATTTATTATAGGTTTGAGCCACTACATTCAGCTAAAACAGCTTTTGGGGGAAAGGGAGTGGAGAGATAGTGTGGATTTTTTTTTTTGACACAGGATCTTATGTATCCCTCATGTTTTAGATGTCTTCCTTAAGGCAAATGAAATTTTGGAGATGGGCCCTTGAAAATCGGGTAAATCAGGGCTGGGAAGGTGGCTAAGTGGTAGAGCGCTTGCCTTGCAAGCCTGAGGCCCTGGGTTCAATTCCTCAGCACCACATAAGCAAAAAGAAAAAAGCCGGAAGTGGCGCTGTGGCTCAAGTGGTAGAGTGCTAGCCTTGAGCTGAAGAGCTGAGGGACAGCACCCAGGCCCAGAGTTCAGGCCCCACGACCGGAAATAATAAAAAAAATAAAAATAAGAAAATCAGATAATCATGTGGAACTTTAGGTGTGATGTGCAGGAATATATTGTAGACTACAAAAATTCTTAATCATTGTCAGTCAGCCAGGGCTCCTTAAATTTAAATCTCTTCATTTCGGAGACAGGAAGATGTCATTTTCCCATGGAATACACTTGTCAGTGGTATGGACAGTAGACTGAAGTACAGGGCATGAATATCATATTATATATATATATAATGGGTTTTCTTTTCCTTTCTTTTCGATAAGGGTCTCACTATGTAGCCTGGACTGGCTTTAAACTTGATGCCTTTTTGTCTTAGCATTGGAAATTGCAGGTGGTGCACAACACTGTCCAGCTTACTCTGTGATAGGGGTGTGTATGATTTTTTTTTTTTAACCTATACGATTTTTTTTTTTTTTTTGTTGGTCGTGGGGCTTGAACTCTGGGCCTGGGCGCTGTCCTTCAGCTCTTCAACTCAAGGCAAGCGCTCTACCACTTGAGCTACAGCACCACTTCCGGTTTTCTGGTGGTTTATTGGAGATAGGAGTCTCACTGTCTCTCCTGCCCGGGCTGGCTTTGAACCGTGATCCTCAGATCTCAGCCTCCTGAGTAGCTAGGATTACAGGCGTGAGCCACCAGCGCCCGGCTAACCTATACGATTTTAAGACCAAATGGGCTTTTAGTATGTGGTTCACAGTGTTTCCATTTTATTTGGAGCTTGAACACCAAGTTGCATTTCTTAATATTTATCTTATGCTTTGGGGCCAGAGTTCATAAGGCCACTACTACAGGTTCTGTTTACATATATTATTTATACTCATTTTTCCAAAGGAAGTTTGTAAAGGGATACTGCGTTCATTTTTTTCTAAGCCCCAAACAGTTCTTATTTGAAATGTTTTCATAGTGGAAAAAAATGGCCTAAAATGATGGTTGAACATAATCACCATAAAGAATAGTGCTTATTATTTAAAATACTTAATAGGCAAGAATGGGAATGTGTGTGTGCGTGGCTGTATTTGTATCTGTGTACCATACTGGCCATGCATGTGTTCCTAGTACTGTACATCCTTCCGTGCCCACTCTTACACTGGGGATTAACCCCAGAGCTCTGGTAGAGCTGCACCCATGTCTCCTAGGAAGCATTTTATCTAAAAATTAGCACTGGCTGGGGATATAGCTTAGTGTGTATTCTCAGTGACTTTTCTGATAATGTTACAGTACCATGGAAATGGGTAGTATTGTATTGTCAGTAAGGTGAGACAGGCACTAGCAGTAGCAAGTTATAGGCCAAATTTAGTTTTGCTCTAAGATTAGAAAAGAATACCTGCTCTTCACCATAAGGTTCTCATCTTTCCGTTACATGCACATGCAGCACTGTCATGAGTAGCTCTTTAAACATTGCATCTGTAGTCTGCTTGCCTTCATACTAATGCTGTTTACATTTTCATTCAAATTAGAAAGCCAAGTAGTTCTGAGGTTAAAAGATCTGTGCCGCTGTGAACTGATCATTGGTGTACTTACTGTATGTTGGGCTGTGACATATCATATGCTACTAAGTGTAGTCTTTCTTTAGTTCTTTTTGATGTGGGGGACAATTAGATTTGCTTAGCTTGCATCCTTTTTTGTCAGTTCTCCTCCCAACTTTTGGCATGTATTGTTGTCTACTGTGGTATAATTTTGAGCTCTTATATTTGATATTATAATTGGTTGCATGGCAACTAATTGTTTTTTCCTGTTGTACAAGTCGTACATCTTTGTTACACAAACAAGCCAAAAGCAGATGCAGTTAATCAAAAAGAAGAAAATAGAAACCATGAATGCTTATCTAGCCTTCTATACATTTTGGTGAGTATGATCCAAACTTTGGATTATGCTTGTTTACAAGCCTTTTTATAAATAATACTGTGCACTATGCTGAAAATGAACTCGTGGGTGGGGAAAGAGGGAAAAACTGGGAGAGAATGAGGGAAGGGGTGACATAGTCCAAAAAGAAGTGTACTCAATACCTGATTTTTGTAACTGTGACCCCCTCTGTACGTCACCTGTATAACAAAAAATTAAAAATAATAACTATATTTCTGATGTTTACTTAATATGTAGCCTCCTTTTTAGTGTCAGTCAATATTGCCATAATAAAACCACAATTTTTGCCGGGCGCTGGTGGCTCACACCTGTAATCCTAGCTACTCAGGAGGCTGAGATCTGAGGATCGCAGTTCAAAGCCAGCCCTGGGCAGGAAAGACTGTGAGACTCCTATCTCCAATAAACCACTAGAAAACCGGAAGTGGCGCTGTAGCTCAAGTGGTAGAGCGCTCGCCTTGAGCTGAAGAGCTGAGGGACAGCGCCCAGGCCCAGAGTTCAAGCCCCACAACCGACCAAAAAAAAGAGAAGAAAACCACAATTTTAGAGCTCTAGCCTTGAGCTGAAGAGCTGGGGGACAGCGCCCAGGCCCAGAGTTCAGGCCCCTTGACCGGACCCCCCCTCCCCCTCCAAAAAAGAAAGAAAACCACAATTTATTCCCTTAGGTTGTTTACTAGGCTTCTTTTTCTGCCAAATTGCTTTTCAGATTTTTCTCCTAACATACCAGTAGCTTATGCAGGTGCCCCTTCACTCTTCCTTTTCCAGCATTTCTGCCAACTAGACAGTTTTGTCATTTTGTGGTTTTGTTTCATTTGTGAGGTGTGTTTGTATGTTTCCAGGTGGTGCTAAGGATTGAATCTCACAAATTCTAAGCATGTGCTCTACCACTAAATTCCACCTCCTAGACCTCCATTGTCATTTTGGAAGCATTCTTGTAAAATAATAGGGTAGAAGATGTGAATGTTAGCTTAGAAAGATGGAAATTGAACTGCAAGAATTTGTACAAAAGGATTTCAGTTTCAACAAATCAGATTATGAATATAGTGCATCTTGATCAATGTCACTGCTTTTTCTTTATATTTTGGATTATTTTACTTATGTAATCATATTTTTTAGTTAAGAGAATTACCCTTTCCCCTCTTGTATGACAGAAACATGCTATAATTGGGGCAGTTCACCCCTAGACAATTAGATAAATTGATCTTTTTTTTCCCCTGAGTAACGAGGGAGTAGCAAGTGAGAGCAAATTGGAAGCAGGAAGGGAAAAGCATGTGGTACTATATAGTTAAAGATTTTCAAAGCGGGGTGCTGGTGGCTCATGCCTGTAATCCTAGCTACTCAGGAGGCTGAGATCTGAGAATCATTGTTCAAAGCCAGGCCCGGGCAAGAAAGTCCCTGAGACTCTTATCTCCAATAAACCACCAGAAAGCCGGAAGTGGCGCTGTAGCTCAAGTGGTCAAGTGGTAGAGCGCTTGTCTGGAGTTGAAGAGCTGAGGGACAGTGTTCAGACTCAGAGTTCAAGCCCCATGACCGACAAAAAAAATTTTTTCAGTAGAAAAAGGAAACAGTATTGATAAGTATAGAGAACAAATACAAGAGTTAAATAGAAAGAGATGTGTGACCTTTTTTTTTTTGGTCGGTTGTGTTTGAACTCTGGGCTTGGGCACTGTCTCTGAGCTCTTCTGCTCAAGATGAGTATTCTACCACTTGAGCCACAGCACCACTTCTGGTTTTCTGGTGGTGAATTGTTTGGAGATAGAGTTTCACAGACTTTCCTGCCCAGGCTGTCTTTGAACTGTGATCCTCAGATCTCAGCCTCCTGAGTAGCTAGGTTTACTGGTGTGAGCCACTGGTGCCTGGCTTGGGGTTTGTTTTTTAGTTCTTAAATATTTACCATATTCATGTTTGAGAAAAACAAAGTTCATTTGAAGGAGGGATAACAAGAATAAATTTCAAAC